AAGAGCTGTGCTGTCCCACAAGATACTCTGAGACAAGGGATAATTCTATGTGTGCACGGAACACTGTGATGCCTCTAGCTCATTGGTTATTGAGCACTTGAAATGTGAGTTTTTTAGCTGAGATGTTGAATTTTTTATTTTTTAAAAGATTTGTTTTTATTTATACAAGAGCGGGGGTACAGGCCAGATGCGTGGGAGGGTGAGAAGATTCACCAAACAGAGCAGGGAGCAGAACAGGCAGACGCCCGAAAACACTGCTGCGGGGAGCAGAGGTTGAGACAGGAGAGGTCTGCTGCACCATGTGGGTAGCTCCCTAGACGGCCGGGAATCGAACCCACACTCTAGAGACTGCAGACAGCTTCACAGCACTGCACTCAACCTGCTGCATCACTGGGAAGGCCCTGAATTTTTTATTTTATTTTATTTAAACCAAAAAAATCCCTATATATGACTACTAGGTACCGTATTGGAAATGCATATCTATGGTGTCCTTAGTTTTCAGCATCTGTCTCCTCGAAATACTGTGTGACTCAAAGGAAAATGTGTATTGAAATTATCTTCATATGGCTGTCATGGGTTAGTCTGTGTGGGTCTGAGACACATCGTTAAAATATAACATGCCCAAGGAAATTTAATTAACACTTATTTCAACTACTGGATTGTAGAGATATTGTCCCTGCACCTCCTGCCTCTGACCTTGTGGGAAACCAGCCCCTCAGCCTGCATGACAGTGAGGAGGCGAAGGCAAAGTCCTGAGGTCAGTGGCTGATGGAGGAGATAATTTACTTTTTTTTTTTTTTTTTTTTGCTTAAGAACTTTCCTTTTTGCCCTCATTGTGTTATTCAGTTGAGGCAACACTGGTTTACACACTGTATGTGTTAGAGGCACAGGGTCACACCTCTTCAGATGTTTGTTACCACTTAACACCCAACATAAGGACCCCATAGTCCTCCACCATAGCCTATTGGGCCCTCTTCCTACCTTGTTTCCTGCTCTTACCCCCACCCCATAGCTTCAATTCTGCAGTCATATTTCTAGTTTGTTTTGGTTTAGTTTCATCAATCCCTGCTTTGTTTCTTTATATTCCACATATGAATGAAATCTAATATTTAACTTCCCCCTTCAAATTTATTTCACTTCGCATAATCCCATCTGTATCTATCCATGTTGCTGCAAATTCAGTATTTCATCTTTTTCACAGCTGAGTAGTATTCCATTGTGTGTATAGCTTGTGTTCTTTATCCCCTCATGTGTCGTTGGGCACTTAAGTTGTCTCCATCTCTTGGTTATGGTAGACAGCACTGCAGTGACCATAAGAGGCACATATTCCTCAGAATTAGTGTTTTACTTCCTTTGGATAAATACCAAGGAATGGATAGGTACCATGGGACAGGTCTATTTTGAATATTTTAAGGAATCTTCATTTGTTCTCCATAGGGCAGGGCTGTACCCATGTGATATCCATAGAAAAGGGAGGTTCCAGGAGTCCTGCCCACCCCCAATCCGCCCCCCCTCCCCAGGAAAGGTGGAGCTGAGCAGGGATGAGAAGCTAACGAATAGGAGGAAGATATGGAGTAAGATGGGGAAAGAAGACTGGAGGAGGCGCATGGAGCAGAGAGACATGTGAAGAAGAATTCAGGCTTGCTCCTCAGGCTTGGACTTGTGTCAGGGAGTTGGGGACATGGAGACCCTTGAAAGAGACAAAGACGTGGGTGAGGGATCCATGGGGAGGCTGACAATGGCAGCTGTTATCTTGATGCGAATTTTGATTTTGCTCTTGTCCTTCCAGACTTGCCTGGCCCCTCCTGCCCCTGTCCCATGGGTCTCTACCAGTAGGTGCCTTAGCCTTGTGGCAGGCTTTTGGGCCTCAGTGGGCCTGCTTTGGGCCAAGCCTGCTTTGCTGGGCCTTACCCATGAGGGGGCGGGTAACTTTAATTAATTCATGTGGGAACTATTTTAACTATGTTCTTTCTCTTCTCTTTCGCTATTGCACACTAATTCTCTATTGCACACAAATTAAAATTCTTTTCTATTGAAGGTCTTATGCATTAGAGTACGTTTTATCTTTAAGCAGCTGATGACAGAAACCATGTAGAGTGTACAGGTTTGGGAGTCCAGGGAACCTCTCCTGCCTGCTAACAGGACCAGTCTCCATTCCCACCTACCGTGTACCAGAGTTCCTTTTCCTCCACACCCTTCAATGGGTCATTCTCACAGGTGTAAGATGGTAACTCACTGTGGTTTTAATTGGCATTTTCCTGACAGCACATGACGATAAACTCTTATCCATGTACCTTTTGGCCACATGCGTGTCTTCTATAGAAAAGTACCTATTTAGCTCCTCTGCCCCCTGTTTTGATTTGCTTGTTTTATTGTTGTGGAGTTTTTTGTAGATAGTAACTCCTTGCTGGATATATGATGTGCAAATATTTTCTCCAAATTGATATTGTCTTTTCATTTTAATGATTTTTCCTTCACAATGTAGAAGCTTTTTAGTTTGATGTTATCCATTGGTTTCTTTTTGCTTTTGTTTCCTTGGAGCACAGAAGACATTATGGGCAGTGAAAATACTCTGCATGATAATCTAATGATGGACATAGGTCATTGTACATTTGTCCAACACCCACAGAACAGACAACACCAGAGTGAACCCAAAGGAAACCATGACTTTGGCGTCTATGACGTGTGGGTCCATCACTGGTAACACACATACTGGTCTGGTCTTATATGATTTGGATGTGACATATGAAGAGTGTTATAAGTTGAGCAGTGTAGTGTAATTGACTTTTGAAAGCATATTTCATGCACATATCAGAACATTTAAATCACACTCAAGGATACACATAAGTTAAGTATGTGTATTGCCTCCACCCCCAACACCCCAGGCAGCCAGTATCTGCTCAAAACCAGTTAGTGATTTATCATTTCTCTTTTCCAATAAAAAGTATATCTATGCTTCTGTATGGACCCTAGTGTTTGTTTTCCTGTCAGTAAAGGAGTTCAGGACACAGAGTGGGGGAAGCATTTGCATATCATGAATCTGATTAAGGATTGTATCTAGAATTTACAAAATAACACTTAAAACTCAATGAGCAAAAAGAACAAACCAAGTTTAAAAAGGACAAAACAGTGTTGTAAATGAGTGGTGCCTCGTTTGAAAAATGGACAAAAGACTTTAACAGACACGTCACCAAGAAGAGACACAGACGACAAGGAAGAACATGAACAGATGCTCAGCATCACAGGGCACTAGGGAAAGACAAAAAGAACAACAGTGACGCCATCACACCTGGTAGGGGCTGAAAAATGCAAACCCTGCACAGGTGCTGCCCAGGATGTGGACAATAGGAGCCTCATCGTTGCCAGCAAGAGTGCAAAATGGCACGGTCACTGTGGAAGATCTTTGACAGTTTCTTTGAAAACCAGAAAACCTGACATACAGCCCAGTGATCACTGCCCCAGCTAGTTACCAACTAATTTGAAACTTATATTTGCACAGAACCCTGCATGCATGCAAATGTTTATAACAGAACACCCATAAGTGTGAGCTGCTCATAGTGCTTCCTTCCAAAGACAACAGCATTTAAATAAATGGAACAAAAAGTAGTTTGGCAGGAAGAAATCTGGGAAACACTGCTTTAGCCTAGTGTTGAAGGTTAACACCATCAGTGATCAGTCAGGTGGACATGATGAGCACTGACATGTTGAATGGACAATGACCTGTACCCCTGTGGTCTGCGTCCCCAAACCCACAGTCCCACTGAAAAAAACAAAAACAAAAAAATACCTAAATTGAGGTACTATGTTCCTGAGCAGTCCTCCTTGATGGAGGCTAAGAATAAAAAATTAGGTTCCTTGGTGGCTCCAGGGGTTAAGACTCCACCTATGAAGCTATACTTAACCTCTGTAGCACAAGTTCGATCCCTGGCCAGGGAGCTACCCACATGGCGCAGCAGACCTCTCCTGACTCCCCGCTGCTCCCCTCAGCAATGCATTTCAGTCAATCTGTGTGTTCTGCACCCCACGCTGTCTCTGGTGAATCATCTCTCCCCCCATACCTCTAGCCTGTGCCCCAATTCTTATATGCATAAATAAATAAATATTTTTAAAAAAAGAGTAGAAAAATTAGGGTGGAGGGGTCACATGACCAGAAACTGTGGGTGGGGGTAGAAGTGATTAACATAGTTACTAAACCAACTATAGAAATGAAAAATGCTTAGGGCCAACTGCTATAGCAAGTATCAGATGCAATAGGACGTGTACAGACCAGAGCTGGGATACGCACATGGAGCCACTGCAGAGAATTACTGGTCCTGACAAATCAGCCTAGTCACACCATAGAAGTAATTCATGTAAAGACAGATGACAGTTGCGCAAAGGAATGAGCCCTCCCATCTAGAACACCACCTCAGTGCCCTTTCTGCCCTGGGAAGAGACAGCTCTGCTCCCAAGGCTGCCACCTGGGGCCTGCAGGCTTCTCCTAACACACCCGCCTTCTCCAGGGGCAGCTCTTCCTGCCTGCTGGGGTCTGCACAAGCATCTTCTTCTTTCCTTTTGTGTGTGGGGGTTGGGGGCAGAGTGTGGGGTGTGGACACGCACACCACTGAAGGAGGACTTTGTTTTTGGTGAAACTTTTCTTCTCAGAGGTGACCCAAGAACCTCCATCTGTGAACCCACGACCTCCCCAAAACATCACTCCTCACCAAAGTCAATGTTTCAAAAATGACGAAAGTCTGAGAAACTGCCATCCAGGCACACTGGATGGGATTATGGAGCATAAAATGGACATTAACAAAAACTAATGAAAGTATGGCGTTTAGTAATTATGTCAACGTTGCTTCATTAGTTGTAAAAAAAAAAAAAAACTTTACTCATGTAGGATGTTGACAAAATAGAAATGCTGTGGTATAAACAAGAACTGTGCTACCTTTGCAACTTTTCTGTAAGTCTCACAGTATTCTTTAAATGTTATTTTTTAAAAGATTTATTTATTTATGCATACAAGAACTGGGGTACAGACCAGAGGTGTTGGGGTGACAGGATTCACCAGAGACAGAGTGGGGAGCAGAACAGGCAAACTGACTGAAACACACTGCTGAGGGGAGCAGCTGGGAGGTCAGGAGAGGTCTGCTGCGCCATGTTGGTAGCTTCCTGGCTGGGGATCGAACTTGTGCTGTAGTGGCTGCAGATAGCTTCATAGGCTGCATCTTAACCCCTTGCGCCACCAAGGAGGCCCTAAATGTTATTTTTTTTTTAATGCCCTCCAAATTTTATAGGTTGTAGAAGGAAAAATCTAATTTCCAGTTTTCCTAGGCCTTCTGAGGAGAAAAGATGGAAACCTCACACACAGGGCAGGGCTCTGGAGTCTCCTCTCCTCTGAGCCCTGGTTTTCTTGCTGCACACAGAGCAGCTCAGCCCCCAGGACCCCGCCCTCCAGGACACCCAACTCTGAGAATTCTTTAGAATTCTTTGTGAGCATTAGGTCTTTTCCAGACTCCAGATCAGCGCGGCAGCGCCCCCGTGTGGCCACGTGGCTGAGCACAGGAGCCCAGAGCTGCCCTTTCTCCTGCTCAGCCAGGCCCTCCCCAGGCTCCCTGGGCCCCCAGCGGCAGGACAGGGATCTGCACACAAGGGGGCGCCCAAGTATGTGTCAGTTTATCCTTATTTTTAGTCTCTAGTTGTCTCCAGGACATAACAACTGGTTCCTAGGTTCTAGGCAAATCCCCAAATAGACAATCACCTTACATTCTCCATCCTTGGATGAAGGGCGGGGCCTAGGAGAGCCCCCAGGGCACTTACTAGGAAGATGGGGAGACTCCTGTAAAAGAGAGCAGAGGATGGAAATGGGGACTTTAGGGGACAGAGGTGGAAAGGGGTGTAGGGGGAGCCAGAGAGGACCGGGCAGGGAAGGGGCAGCATAGGGGACCCTGTGAGGGGAAGTACTGTATGAGTGACATGGGGCTCTCACTGGGGGGCTGGAGCGTCTGTCTCCCCTGGGGGATGCAGCAGTGCTGGCCTGTAACTGCCCAGGGAACTGCGCACATCCGGGGCCTTGACCGTCCTTGCAGGGCTGGTGTCACCCCCACACACGCACATGCTGGTGACGGAGAGGACTGTAACAGGGGTTCCCCAGGGGAAGATCCAAGTTCCCTGACCTACCTAAGCAGGGTTGAGCTGAGCAGGGAGAAGAAGCAGCTGGAGAAGAGACTGGAGAAGGAAGGAAGCAGGATGGAGCCAGAAGGAGCCCTGGAGGAGGCACACGGAGCAGAGAGACACGTGAAGAACTTGCACTTCCTTCTTGACCTTGGACTGCGTGACACAGATGTGGGGAGAGACCCGTGGGGAGGTTACAATGTTAGATTCTATCTTGATTTTGCTCTTTTCCTTCCAGACTTGTCAGCCCCATCCACCACTTTACAATGGGTCCCCGCCAGGAGGTGCTTTAGGTGGCAGGCATTCAAGCCCTGTTTGGGCCAACCCTGTTTGGTTGAACATTTACCCACAAGGGGATGGTGACTTTGAATGTTTGATTTGGAAACTTTATTCTTTCCTTTTTCTTTGTTGCACACTAATTGTATTAAAGTTCCTTTCCATTAAAGGTCTTACATGTTTTGTCTTGATGCAGCAGATGGCAGAGTATGGGGGAGATAGATGGTTAAGGGGTGTCCTTAACCCCTCCTTACCCAGGACATCCCCCTCAGTTCCCCAATGCTGGGGTGTCAAGGAGATTCAGGGGGGCCAAGAGGAGGAGAGCAAGGCCTGAGCCACCCTGGAGGAGCAGCCCCGGGGGCTGATTCTGGGGCTCCAGGACCGCAATCCCTGCAGGCAGGTCAGAGTCAGCCCCACTCACAGCTCCAGGCCACTGACAACTCCTCTGTGCTTTGACCCTGCAGACACCACTTGGGATAGTGTGAAGAAAAAGAAATGAACAGCAAAATTAAATGGAATCTTAAAAACGTAGAAATAATTTTTTAAAATCTGTTTATTTTGAAAGACACTTCATGGGACATGGAATCCTTGTCTGATAGCTCATTGTTATCATGACCTTGACTGTCACGGAGTTACTCTGGCGCACGTGTTTATTGTGAGAAAACAGCCACTGATCAATTTATTGCCTTAATTTATTAATGGTTTGTACAAAATCACTTCCTACTTTGCACCTAAAACAAAGATCTGGCATCTGGCTATGCATTCCACCCACCCGACAACTCTACCTGGTCCCACGAGGGGGTGTGAGAGGTGACCAGGCTCTCCTTCAGTCCCTTGGGACGCGCTGAACTAGAACCAGGGAACCAAAAATGTTCTGGCAGTTTCCCAGAGAAATCACAGGGCACTCAGAGAGGTAGAGAGAGAGAGATTTAATTGTCACACCGGTGGGCTCAGCGGGATCGCTCCCCAAAGAGCTGAGCACCCAGGAACAAGAATGGCAAGGTTTTATACAGTTTGTATGAGATACTTGCTATCCCATCTCTCATGGTATAAGTGTTCTTTATTGTTTGGGAAGGAGGTTCAAGGGTGTCATGGCTACCACCTCAGGCAAGCAGTGAGTACACCAGCAACTTCTCCGCTCCAGCAAGCAGCAGAACCAAAGCAGCAGATTTGGGAAGGCAACAGAAACTAAGCATCAGACTCCCCAAGCAGCAGGCTTGGGAAATGTCCTGCTTCAGTTATCACTGTGTTTTAAATCAGGGGATCGTGAATGGATCAAGAAGGTGTGGTCCATAGATACAGTGGAATACTACTCAGTGATCAAAAACAGAAACTCATGCCATTTGGGAAATATGGATGGGGTCGGAAGGGATACTAAGCTTGATAAGTCAGAAGGAAAAAACAAATATCATGGTTTCCCTTATATGTGGGATATACAGAAATCAATCAAAGGGTCAGATTAAAGACAAAACTCGCAGCCTGATCCTAGATCTGAGGCCTACAGCAGGGGGAAGGAGAGAGATGGTTCCAAATAGGGGAGGGAAGAGCACAAGGGACTGTAGTGATGGATCATGGGTGCTATGGTGGTGAGAGAACCATAAGGACTGTAGTCCTGAGAGAGAAATCAAATATTATACAAAAATTAACAGTGATGTAAGGGAACAAATAAATAGATTGAATAAAAACTTTTATATCAATCACTGACAGCTAGAAAACAAATAAAATTAAATAAAGCAGAGGATTCTGAAGTTACAAAATGGGGGGGGGGAGGAATCCTATAACATTCAGTCCCACATAAGGCAGAGCTCTCATTCTCTGAGGGAAAATAATATTGAAGAAATTCAGGTGAATTACATTAAGTGATAACATTCTCAGTAGTCCAGTGCATCCTAAGACTGTCCCACTCACAGCTCCCCACAACCTGGCCCCATCCACTGGTGTGTCCCAGGGGGTGAGAATTCCCTCTAAGCTGTCCTCTGGGGCTCAGGACCCAACCCTTAATCCACACTTACCTGCAGCCTGACTAGTTGATTGCGTGTCCCCCTGTGGGAAGAAACATCATGTGAGACAGGGAGGAGTCAACCCATGGAGTCCTAAAGGAATCCCCAAGTCACAGGGAATTTTCTAGAACTGTGACTGAAGACCCAGGTCAGGACTGGGATATATGAAGAATGGATATGAAAGGGAATTGGAGTCTTTCCTTAGCAGGATCCTTCCCTTATGACATTTACTGGGAAACAGATCCCCACCACCACAGTTATAAGGTGAACAATTGGTGATGCATTTTCATAAGTGCCTTACAAAGAGTGAGTGTTCGCAATCAGCTCCAGACTGGGCAACACATGTGTGCGGATCATACTCCCTACTAACCAGGAAGGGCAAGTTCTCCCTGGACATGAAAGCCCCCAGTGGACAAGATCCCCCACTCCCTTCCCTACCTGAGCGCTTCTTCCTCCACATCACAGCTGCAGCCACCGAGCTCCAGTGAGCACAGCTCCAAGGAGAACCAGGCCAACAATGTGGCCCACGGTGGAGTCGGTGGAGTCAGTAGGGACAGTGGACTGAGGAAGGGGCACTGGAAGGGACGGGAAGGGGAGACCCTGAGCCCCAGGCCTCAACCTGACCCTCTGAAGATCTCCAGAAGGGCTCCTGATGACCCTGAGAAGCTCTGTGCTCACATTCCCTCCTTACCCCAAGTCAGGATTCGGGACTCCAGCAGCCCCTCATGCTGCACATGGCACATGTATCTCTGCTCCTCTCCAGAAGCCACCACTACAGCCGCCCACTTTTGGAAGTTTCCATCCCCACCAGGCCTGGTCTCCACCAGCTCTGTGTCCTGGGTCAGGTCCTCCCCATCTCGCTGCCAGGTCAGGGTAATGTTCGAAGGGTAGAAGCCCAGGGCCCAGCACCTCAGGGTGACCTCATGCTCAGAGGTGGGGTGGTGTGTCATGTGTGTCTTTGGGGGATCTGAGGAGAAGGGACAAAAAGTTCACACTTTAGGTTTTTCCTTCCTGGACACTGAAGCAGCCTCACTGACCATCCTCAGAATGAACATGACAATTGGTTTGGAGGGAGGAAGCACAAAAACCAGAAACCAGCCTAGTCTGAAGAATCTGGGATAATCCGGTAGGAGCCCAGGGTAGGAGGATTCAGGTCTCTAAGGAGAACACAGACTTTTGCTCCTGACCTGGGTAGAGGATGAATAACAGAAAGGCAGGAGTCAGATCCAGAAATGTCCTCAGACCAAAAACAAGGCCTTGAAAGAGAAACTCATGGTTCCCAGGATGGCTGCCTGGTCAAACGGATCCAGGAAGAGTTATTTCAGGATGGCCTCCCCTCCCTCAGGAGAGACTGGATTCCTTAAGCGTCCAGAAAAGTGGTGTCTTCTGGGCGAGTCTCTCTCTAGCACAGAACAGGACACCCAGGGGGACTCTCCCTCTCTGCCTAGAAAGCAGCTGCTGTTCTGCCCATTATTCCATTTCCCTGTGGGGCGCCAGGAGAGGGGAGGTCCGAGGCCTCGTGGCCCCTCTTACCTGTGCGCTGCAGCACCTCCTTCCCCGTCTCCAGGAGTCTGCGGAGCCGCGGGAAGCACCTGCTCTGCACACTGTGCCTGACGCGCTCGGCCCTGCCCGCCGCCTCCCACGCGCGCTGGGTGATCTGAGCCCCCGAGTCCGCGGGGTCCAGGAGCGCAGGTCCTCGCTCAGGGAGATGGAATCCGCGCCGTCGTAGGCGAACTGGTCATACCCGCCGAGGTTTCCGTGGGGACCTACTTCACAGCCACACATTTTCTGGAGAGTGTGAGACCCTGAGCCCCGCCCAGCGGTCAGCCCTGAGGTCACTCCCCAATCGCTCACCCCTACCCTGAATAAACCTAAACTGAAAATGAATGGGCAGGCAGGAAAGTCCTGCCGGCTCTTCCCGGGGAGGGTCCTGGCAGATCCACCATCCTCGAGGGGTCAGTGGACCCTGAGACTCGGGACACCCCGGCCTTATGGTGGGAATGGGGGTGACCTGACCCTGGCCCCGCTCCGCGAAGCTCACCGTCCTCGCTCTGGTTGTAGCGGCCGCGCAGGTCCCTCAGGAGCGCTTTGAACCACTGCGCGTTGTCCCTTTGGATCAGAGTCTCCTCGTCCAGGTCCTCCTGCCCCACCTGCCCCGCCCAGGGCGCCCGCGGCTCCGCGCTCTGGCCCAGGGAGTCGCTGTCCAACCGCTCGAACTGCGCGTCGTCCACGTAGCCCACGGCGATGAAGCGGGGCTCCCCGAGGCCGGGCCAGGACATCGGTGGAGAAAAGCCTCAGGGAGTGGGGGCCTGGGGGCGGGAGGGGAGACCCGGGCTGACCCTCCTCTCATTGCGGGCCCAGGGCCCAGGGAGCTGGGCCTGGAGGGGAGAAAGGGGCGGGGCCGTGAGAGTGAAAAGGGGCGGTGGGTCAAGAAGGGCCCAGACTCAGGGGACCAGAGCACTCAGGGGAGGCGGGAGGGACAGAAGGGGCCAGAACACAGGGTGCCTGCAGGGGGTACAAGAGGTTGGGGGGAGATGAGCCTTTCCTGGGGTCCTGCACCCGCAGTGGGCTCCTTGCTCCTCCCTCCTGGAGCAACAGTGTCCAGCTGGACACGCACTCACCCGCCCGGTCTCCATCAGGCCAGGGGCCCCCAGAGCAGCAGCAGGAGGGTGAGGGGCATCACACCCCATCCAGGGGTCTGGGGAGAAGGAGTCCAGGAGGGTCCTTGGAGACTGTGTAACTGGAGCAGGATGATGCTGATTGTCTTCCCTGGACACCCCCAGGAAATGGGGAGAGAGAATGGGGTGAGTGTGGGGTCATCAAGGCTGCCCCACCCCACAGAGCCTGTGAGAGGGAGACATGATGCCGTGACAGTGTGACATCCACAGACAGGGGAGGCTCCAAATTCTCCAAATTCTCCAAATTCTCTTCCTCACCTTAGGGAGGAGTGGATTTGGGCTGGGAGAAGCAGCAGCCTGGGGGAATGAAGAAAACTAGTAGTATTTTCAAATAATTGTGAATATTGATACTAAATTAAAACTGTACACACAGTAGTTTTCTCAAAGGTTATTTGCAAAGTGAAACCTGAAATAATATCAGGGAATATTTCCTATTCTGTTACATTTCCATGGGCCTCTCTTGCATATTGGTTGGGACTTGTGCTAATGCATGATTTTTTAAGGTGATACATTGTTTCACTAAGTTACATAGATTTTTTAGTGTTAATTACACTGGAATCAAATGATCAAAATGTTTTATTTTTTTAATCACAAATCCCAAAAGAAAATTTGTACTCTAAATTGTCAAGTAGTGATGCACTCAATTTTTCATAATTCTGGGTTTCTCTGAGAGCTTATATTTTATCAGGCAAAGTTACTGCCATTTGCCAATTGTTGATTTTCTTCAAAAACAGACACTCATTTTGAGGAAAGTGT